GATACTTCTTACCCGATGTATTTGTCACCACTTTTGCACCTTTTTTGCCCACATTCTGGTAAGTCTTGTGCAATAATTCAGTCATTAGTTTGTAATTATGATTAATGCCATTATTTTTGGCCATTTTGGCCACTTTAGTCCAATTCCTCTTCATTGGACTCTTCATTAGACTCTTCATTGGACTCGACTTTGGGCTCGCATTGACTGTACAAAGAAATGTCAATTCATTAATCATTTAATATAAACTTTAATAATAGGATAATTACGCGAATGGATGTCAGGTTTGATATCCATGTGATCGTCGTTTGCGGCCGAATCGTGTTGAGACAAATGGTCGCTAAACAGATCCCGACAGTTGAAGACAAGCTCGCATTTGTGACACGTATACGACTCGACATTCTTGTGGACACTATTCCGATGGATCTCTAAAATGACAGTCGTTTCAAACGTTTGTTGACATTCATCGCACACCACGTGATTGTCCGTCAGATCGTCGACCATATTCTTCGACGTTATTAACTCTTCGGACGGATCCGTAAACGAACCACGAGTTCCTATATTTATAACATAATACATATTATCATCATTTGTCCATCAAATCCATGGATCAGTTCATTACCAGATAATAAGCCAGCGTTTGGATCATCGCTTCTGCGGTTGTGTTTAAGACACTTGTATTCGTCGTTGAATTGATTCAATTTGGAGATAATGTCGGCATTGATATCGCATTTGCATCGTTGGATCAAAATGAGCGAATAGTTCTTGTAATTGTCCAAAACGTGGTTCAATTGTCGCTCAAGACATAGGTCTTGGAGGAAGCGTTCGTTGTCTTCGCTCAACACCTTGAGGTCGGCCACCAATCGTTGATTCTCAGTGCGGAGCGCATCCAATATATCGTTGACCACTACCGCAGCCATCGTATGGTGTTTGGGATGAGTTAAATGAGACAATCAATGGTCACAAACGACAACAACAGTAGCCATGAGTTGAAAGCAAAACAAACGCATATTTTGGGCGCAATTTTGCGTTTGGTTTACAGTCTGTGTATTCAATACATTGCCTCACATTTGTGTGCATTGACTGTACTCTCCATTCGTATATCGTGTTCAATGCAATTGAGGCTAAGTTTGGCACAGTTTAGGGCTGTTTAGCACTGCATTTGGGGTACGTTTGGCGCGACTCTTAAATACAGACAATTGCGTGAAAGAAATACAAATGAAATTTAATAAAAAGCGTTTCTTTGAGTTATATTTGTGTTTGCAATGAAAACAACTCATTTGCAACTGTCGTACAGTACGCGGGGCTCAACAGTGGATGCGTTGAATCGGATGAGACTCACAGTCAGCGCCGATAACATTACCAACGAATCCAAATTGGATTATACCGGTACAAATAATTTTTACAAATACCGTAGTGCTTTTTATTGCATAAAACTTTTAATTTAATAATAAAAATATAATTTGTATTAAATTACAAAAAGTGTTGTTTCAATGAATTGAGAGATTTCTTCACCAAATAAGTTATGGGTTTAAACCGATT